ATCCTGAAGCACAATGATAGCCTTTAAGTTACATATTTTTGCCAGGAGATCAGCATCCTAATTTCTTAAGGACCCCTGAGTGGATGCCATCTGGCCCTGGCAATATTTTGAGCTTTTCAATATATTCTGTATAGATGTAACAAGAAAGGATATTCGATCTGCCTCAACTGCACACTCACACCCTGAAAAATATTGGTTTAGGCACCATTAGCTGTCATATATCCCCCATAGCGAAGGCAGATACAATGAAATCATTTGTTTTCTTCTGTATCATATTCTGATTGAGTTTTCCTTTCATTCCCTCATTCTCTGTGCTTCAACAGTTTCTCTGGGCTGTTTCCTGTTGTTAATATAGATGAAGAATCTCTTATTGATGGCTTTTGTATGTCTAGCCAAGTGCTCCTCAAATTCTTTCCTCCTTCATTCCCCACCATTTTCTTCATTCCGCAAATTTTCCTTTTTCTTATTATGTCTATATTCTTAACTTCTTCCTTTGAGTTTTTGGACTTTGTTACTCTCTCTATTATACCCTAAATCTGATATCTGCCAATTACATTTTCCAAGGATTTTGCAGCCAAAATATTACATAATAGCTGTCTCTTCCCCAGCACTCTCTACAACCTATGTGGATGGTGCATGATATTTAGAACTTTTGTACCAGACAGGCAAATCACCTAATAACCTTTTTCTCTAAATTTATACTGATTAAATCTGCCACTACCAGAACCCTGCCCCTGCTCCTAAGAGGGGTATCCTCACAACAGAGAATGTTGGGGCCTCCTTCAGGAGATGGGTCCCCACTAAGGAATTCTATCCTTTTCCTTACCCTGATGTTCTCTAGCCCCGAGAATCTCATTCCTTAGGATAGCACACCTTGGAAATACCAAAAAAGAGAAAGACTCAAGACCATTCTTTTTCAGCCCGGTACCAACCAGTTCCTGCTAGCTAGTGGAGCCTCATAATTATTCTAGTTACTTTCCTAAACTATAAGACTCATGCTGTAAACCCAACCAACCAAAATCTTGGTTATTTTGTTTGGTGGACATATTAAGAATCCTCTGTTTCAATTACCATACACCCTTTAGATCTAACATTTTCAGGAAAATCAGTGAAAAACAAATTACTGAACTAGTTCATCCATGTGATGTACTGTTCACCTTTACCCCTGTAGAGTGCCTAGCTCTTTAGTCAACTTTTAGTTCCCTCTATGATTCTAGCATCCCATCCCCTGCTGTGGGGATAATTTTACATAGGAACTGAGGCTGAGAAAAACTAACGTGTTCCCAGAGAAACAGGTGGGTAGAGCAGGCTGGGTCTTTGTTTGTTTGTTTGTTTGTTTGTTTGTTTCCACATCTATTTATCCTCCAATATCAAATGAAACAGATTGAGAAGAACAAAAATTATGATGCTTAGGACAACAGAGTTCTCTCTCTCTCTTTCTGTCTCTCCCTCCTTCTCTCTCTCTCTCTCTCTCACACACACACACACACACATACTCATTAACAATTCTGCACCAGTTTCTCACCGATTCTAGAGCTGGATTTCAAAGTTGCTTGGTAATAGCTCATTCCAAGCTCATTCCACCATCTGCTCTGAAAAGGTGCCAAGCGAGTAGCAGGAGTAAAACAGACATTTCCCTAGGTATACACTTGTAGGCAAGCACCCACCCGTACACAGCATTCAAAGGTATATAGATGAAGCATTCAGAGCCGGAGTGAAAGCAATGTTGCTTTCTCTCTAGAAAGTAAAAAGAGGGGTTTGGGAGATCATATGCAAAAAAAATTATAGACAAACTGACTTGCAACCAGTGTTTTGTTTTAAAAAGAGTATCATTCAAAGGTAATGGGACATACAGTAATGAACTTGGATAATTAAGCCAAGACCAGAGGACTTCGGCCTTCCAAAATCCAATGTTCCCCAGATATTCCTTTGATCACGATGGCTAGGAAGAAGGTCCAATCTACCAGAGGTACCCAAGTTGAGACAACCTGAGATATCTGTGGTTCAGCACTCTGTATTCAGGAAGAAAATGAGCAATAGACAGATAAAGAGGACACCCTGAAGGTACTAAACAAAAAACTGATATTAGCAAGGAGTCTCTATTTGGAGCAACACTTCTTTGCCCGCTTGCATGCCCATCCATCCATCCATCCATCCATCCATCCATCCATCCATCCATCCTTCCTTCCTTCCTTCCTTCCTTTCTTCCACTCCTTATGGTATAATGAAAACTTGTGTGTGAAAACACACAATTCTCCTACTGATGAAGTTTCTTGGCATGCCAATCCCACAGGCTGCCCCTGTTGAAAACATGTTTAGAACACATACAAACTGATAAAGACTCCAAACCACTCATGGAGGTACTGGTGCAAGTAAGCACATTTGCGGTATTTGCAGTATTAGTACATAAAGAAAGGGTAGTAACTGATACAATATCTGCACAAATCCTCACAGTAATCATGATGTCCAAATAGCCTTTTAGCACCCACTATTCTCTTTTTTACAAGCTTTTATTCTCTGGACATTTAATGCCTTCTCCTTTCTCCTGCTTGCAGCATCCAGAGGCTGAGTGAACTATGTCACAGCCTCGGAATGATTTATACTTCCCTATATTACTTGCCCATTTTTTCTCTTTATGTATGCCTGGGTGAAAAGCTTCATTCACTCATACAAATGAGTTCACTTCATTCCCCCACACCACCTTACCCCACTCCCCACTGCCATTCTGCATGAGTCACACATTTTATGCGCTGTGTCTCCATCTGCAACTATAAAATGTCAAGAGGAACCACAGTGAGGAAAGCTCCTTAATGCAGGTTTATATTCCAGGGCTCCTTTTTACAGTATTGTTGGAGCAAGCTGTGTGTGTTGCCACACTAATACTCAAAAAGCATCCGTCAATTGTCAGAGATTGTTGGCACTGTGTACACGTTGCCCAACGTCTCACCTGCAATGTTTCATCCTCAGAGAAGGATGGATAAAAGATTTATCTTAACTGGAGTCTATTGCTGGCCAGTTCTTTCTCTTTTTTCTCCAAACACATCTTTAACTCAAGCTTGCTGCTGATGATATGGTTGCCTGATGAACATGTGCTACAACAGCAAAGAGAGATAGAAATGGGAAGCTATTTTAGGGTAGAAAGTAGATTTCAATCCCTCTCTATCTGAAATCAAAATAATCTACCATATATTCATTTTCAATGAGCCAAAGGTATATCTGCCATCACTTTTTCACAACTACTGCAAATAAATGAATTTTAGTGGCTAAAAGGAACTGGCTGACAAAACACTGAATAGTTTTTAAAAAGACCTTCCATGTTCCTCCTGGATTCTATCCTGACCTAATCTTGAAAATGGGGTTTCTTCCTCAACTTTGGGTGCCTGAACATGCAATTCTAGTCTCTTTCTCCCTCTTCCCTTTCTCTCCCAAAGAAGGTTTTTACGTACTTCTTTTGAAAAGAATGCAACCCTCACAATTTAAATGTGCATCTGTGAAGAAATGTCTAATTCTGTTCCCCTCCCATTGACATTTGGTGGCAGTTTCCCTTTTTATCCACTAAGAAGCAAAAAGAGTTCATTAGAGAGGTTTGCTCATTTGCACTGCACAGCAATTGATTAAAATGAAAATAGGAAAAAACAAGAGAAGTAATTTTTTTTTAAAAAAAAGCCCATATCAGATGCTTATTTATTGTGATGTATGTTGCACCCTAATTTGAGCCTGCTACCTTTTTAACCTTTAAGCAGTGGGAATTGTAAAGGGGCAACTGTTGGTCAACAGTGATAAAGAGGTGAAGGACCCTTTCAAATCTCAAAGGATCCATGCTGTTTGCACAGAGGGGATACTAACTGTCTGCAAGGCACAGAGTCAACCAGTTATAATTTGTGACCTTTGCTATCAACAGAAAATAACAGTTCTCCGTCCTGACTTCATTTATGTGCCACAAAGTTGCTGGAAATTTATTAGCTCTTTTGTGTTAGGATTGTCAACAAAATGTAATTGTTATCTTCTATTTCTAATACGTGTGACTTCAAGTTATGCTGAAAGACTAATGAAAGACTTCACGCCTCATGGTTTAATAACAGAATAACAGAGTTGGAAGGGACCTTGTAGGTCATCTAGTCCAACCCCCCGCCCAAGCAGGAGACCATACACCATTTCTGACAGATGGTAATCTAATCTCTTCTTGAAAGCTTCCAGTAATGAAGCTCCCAAAACTTCTGAAGTCAAGCTGGTCCATTGGTTGATCGTTCTCACTGTCAGAAAATTTCTGCTTATTTCTAGGTTGAATCTAGGTTGATCAGTTTCCATCCATTACTCTTTGTCTGGCCTTCAGGTCCTTTGGAAAATAGCTTGACCCCCTCCTCTCTGGACAGCCCTTCAAATATTGGAACACTGCTATCATGTCTCCCCTGGTCCTTCTCTTCACTAAGCTAGCCATGTCCACTTCCTGCAACCGTTCTTCATATGTTTTAGCCTCCAGTCCCCTAATAATCTTGATTGCTCTTCTCTGCAGTCTTTTTAGAGTCTCAACATCTTTTTTATAGTGTGGTGACCAAAACTGGATGCAGTATTCTAGGTGTGGTCTTACTAAGGCTTTATAGAGTGGTTTTAGTACCTCACTTGATCTTGATTGTATCCCTCTGTTAGTGCAGTTTAGGATTGCATTGGCTTTTTTGGCTGCACATTGTTGGCTCATAATTAATTGGTTGTCCACTAAGACTCCAAGATCCCTCTTACAGTTTTGCTATTAAGCCTAGTTTCTCCCAATCTGTATGTGTACTTTTGGTTTTTCTTGCCTAAGTGCAAGACTTTACTTTTCTCTACATTGATTTTCATTTTGTTAGTTAGGGCCCAGTGTTCACCCTATCATCTAGGGCACAGGTGTCAAACTTGATCATGTCACGTGACGTAACACAACGTATTGTGATGTTTTTTGCCTTTGTGGAGCCAGGGTGGGTGTGGCCTGCATGTGACACAACCATGGCGGCCCACACAGCCTGTGGGCCACCAGTTTGACACCCCTGATCTATGGTGTTGGCTATTCCTGCCAGTTTAGTATCATCTGCAAATTTGATAAGTTCCCCTTCTATTCTCTCTTCCAAGTCGTTTATGAAAATATTGTTTGGGGGTAACAACCCTGGATGTGCATGTGGCAGGTAGGTCTGCAATAGAGATAAGGAGGAGGAAAAACAGTACAGATCAGGAGTGCATGGATGTCTCCCTGAATGTTTTAAAGCCAACAAGCAAACCAGGAGAGGAAATTACCATATATCTTTTTATATCTCAATAGTCATCCATTAAGCCAGAACCTATGGGGTATTACTGAGCAGTGAGTGTTTTTCCTTCTTAAAAACTTCTTTGCTCAGTCTAGCTAGCTAGGTAGCAGAGCCCAGCTAACCTGGGCTGATCTCTGAAAGGTAAGGCGGTGGTGGATTTAGTTAGGAATTAGGTAGGAGACATATCCAGGCTGTAGGCTAGATTCTTGGAAGAAGGTAGTGGCAATCCATGTACTCCAATCTGCCAGATTGTATTACAAATGAAGATGTGTTTCAGCTCATCTGGAAGAAGACAGGTTAGACAAGGCTGGACTACCCTTTAACTGAAAACTCTACCCAAATAATATGTATTAATTAGATTCCAGGAATTGGACCAATGGCTGCCAATGAATCAAAAGCAGTAGACTTTTTAAAATGGAGTAGATTACTTGCAATTTCAGTGCCTTCAACTCATTTTGCCTATCCTCTTCTTCTATGCTGCAGAATTTCAGTATTGCTTTTTGAAGTAGACACTGTAATATGTGCCAAAGGACCTCCTGAAATAACCCCAGCATATCTAAACGGGTAATGCAGCTCTTCACTATAAATCCTGAAAATTGCCATCTAGAAAGGTGGGCCCTAATCAGAATATGAGTGCCATTCTTTGTTGTAAGCATTATTCAATTTCACTTAGTTATTAAAATGATTTAATAGAATACTATAAACATGTTGCTCTACTGAGAAATAAACTTGTTCATGGTGATTTAGATTATAATAAACCTTGCTTATTTCCTAGCATACCAATAAATGAAGATAAATTGGATGAGGGTAGGGTGGGAGGCAGTCCTGTTAGTCACTTCTCTTTTTCCTCTTCTACAAATACATTTCCCAGTTTTATCTGAGTAAGTGAAATAGACGCATATAGATTTTTAGAAATTATCACTTACGCTTTTGTTATTACTGTAATTGCATTCTTTCTTGGCTCCACAGCATCATTCAGGCACTGAGTAAGGTTATTGCGCTAGGTACCATCTAACTACACTGAGCTAATTAAGTATATGTAACATGATGGAAGCTCAAGATCCCAGTGTTCAAACACAACAATTAATAGCTGCCCATGAAACAGCCTATTGATTCATGGCAAGAAACAATTTCCTTATGTTTTCCCAGTTCATTATTTCCAAAGCAATTCCTACAACTATAGATATGGGCAACCTGGACGAGTGTATGGCATTTATGCTGATCATTGTTTGTAACAACATTGCACAGTTCACTAGGGATTGTATGTATGTTTGTACGCTCAAAATTCATTCTACTCAGGGCTCACAATTCCATAGGGCTAGAATAGATACAGAAACAAATTTCCCATTCCAAAATGCTAATACCTAGACAAAATGACATCTCTTCACAAAATTATTGCAGCCTAAGGGAACCTGAGTAGAAAGCCATCAAACATCAGAGTGGGAGAGAAACAGCAAAGCCCCGTCGCCAGCTATTACAGAGTCAGAAAGGGCTGGGAGTTAGGCCTTCAAGTCAGAAATTATAGGTATCTTCAATCTATTTAAAATGTACAGTATGTAATATTCAGTTTGCCGCACAGCAATTGATCCCTGCCTGTTGCCATGAGAAGCAGACAGGTCTCTGCCTTCTCCCACGAAGGAAAAACACCTCTTCTCCTTCCTGAAGTTTCCAAGATCTGCACTGCATATTCTATGAGGAACAACCATTCCCTAGAGCCAGCTTCCCCACAGCTGCCCGGCACAGTTTGAAATTCCCCAAGAAATCAGCCTCCCAAAGGCAAATTTGCTTACAGCTTCAGCTCAGTAACTCCAGAGGCAATCTCAGAGAAGCAAAAGTATTTTCAGGGCTGTTTGGAAGGCACCGAATGTCCATGTCTGTTGAGAGCTGGCAAGTAGGAAAACTCTTAAAAACAATATTCAGCCTCTTTCCTACCTAGGATCTTTGGAATCAGCCACTGTGCACCCCCAGAAATGCATAAATCAAGATGAGAATGAGAATTATTGCCTATCTGACTAAAGGCAAGAGAACAATATACCTGTTATTCAGCATATAAGAAAAAAGGGCTAGAAGCAGCAAACGGCATACACACCTGTAAAATGGTCAACTTTTTGATCCTTATAAACTAACATGTTCTCCACCTTCTACAATCTTCACCTGTCTTCCTTACTATCCTTTACATCAGCCTTTCCTTCTAGGTATTACCAGGTAAGTGGTACTGCAGCTTCCATCATCCCTCAACCAGCATTGTCATTAGCTATGTGGGTCTGGAAGTGAAATCAGTTATAATCCAATACTTCTGGAGGGCAGCTAATTAGGGAAGGCTGATTTGCCCAATAACTCTAATCTAAGGAATTCCAAATGTTTTGCATTTCAAATAGCCTTGTTTAGATTCTTGTGGAGATGCACAACTCTTTCAAAGTCAAAACAGTTTGGAGACTTTTTCAGACCATTAATAGCAAGTATTAACACTCTGGTTTCAGAGTAAGATATTGAAAATATATAGGATCCACCAATTAAATTGCTATTAGCTGTTCATCATGAACAGAACGTATGGTTCTATAAACCAAGGATGTCCAACCTTGGCAACTTTAATACTTGTGGACTTCAACTCCAAGAATTCTCCCAGCTAGCCAAGTTGAAATCCACAAGTCTTAAGGTTGCCAAAGTTGGACACCCTTACTGTAAATGTTAAAAAATAATTCAAAAGATTATAAATCTCTCCACAAAGAATGGTTTCTGATTTATTAGCTGCTGAAAATTTTGTTTTCTTGGTTTTTTTTTTCCAGAAATACACATTCTTTTCCAAATGCAGATATACTCCCTGTTTTTAAGGAAGTTGGGATTTCCAAGCTGAAGAGTCCTAGAAGATGATGTAATAATTCTGCAATGGCGAATGCTCCTGTGTGTTAAGGCTATTGGAATCTGAGCACTACAGCAATGTGATATATAGGATGTGAAAACATGGAGAATGGCTACTTTTACTGTTCAACCTTAATTTGGGGAAAGTAATGGAATTCAATAAGACTTGGATACACTGGCAATTTGAGGAGAATACTGGGCTTGTTTTTCTTCATCAGAAAGTTTCTTTCACTATTATTCTTTGGTTTTGTAAAAGAGATTCTTGTCCTACATTCCAACCAATGAGAGGGACTCATGTTCAAACCATATCAAGCAACAAGCCCTATATACAAGGGAGGGGGGGGAATTAACAAGATGATAATAAAGAAGCAGAAATGTTGAATCAATTTCTGAACATACAGAGACCAACCCTGAAATATTTTTCTGTGTAAGGCTCCCTAAACTGAAAATGGCTTGTGCAATTTCATTAGCACTTGGACCTTCTAATTCTGATATCAAAACGTACTTGGGAATGCTTGCTGTACACAATTCACGTAGAGATACAGCACAGATGTTCAAGAAGTAAATTGTTTCAACAGCTGAATTAAAACTGGAACTGGAATTAAACCAAGATGATAAAAGATGATAAAATGAGAAGAGTGTGTATTTAATTCACTGACATATTTGATAACTTCAAATTAAAGTGTTCTAAAGCAATTATAAAAGTGTAATTTGCAGTTAGCATTTAAAGCTTGTAATATATTATTCCAATATTTATGTAACAGGGTTTTGCATCAACAACTAACATTTACCACTCAGTCTTTTATAACTGGCAGCATTATTTAAACCTTTTAGTACTTGTTTCTATGAAAACTTAATTAGAACAATTACTGTAGGTCCCATTTGATAGCCACTAGACTATTTCAGCTCTGTTGTGTTATGTCTGCACCCTCCAATCTATGAAGTATTCTGGACAGAAAACAATTTGCAGACCTCAAGTGACCATGAAATCTCCCTTTTTGGTGTTTTTCAAAGCACTCCTATGACTGCAGTACAAAAATTTGGTGGTAAATTGTAAATGTCATGGTTTCCTGCCAATTATCAGTGAGAAATCAAATAAATAAATATATATATTTATATATATACCTTCACATAAGCTGCTAAAAACCTCCATGAAAAAAATAGAGCAAAAATTAGAATTTGCCTTGTATTAGCATGACTTTATTACTCCTTGTGTTCTCCAGCCACCAGAAATAATAGGAGAAGAAAGTGCAGCCTTCAGCCACAAAGATTACTTTTTAAAAATATACATATCCAGGAAAATTACTGCTCACCTTATGTATTTTGCATATGTTGCATGATATCAAGTAGTTGATTTGGGGCACTATTTTGATTTGCACGGAAGACTAACAGATTAGGATGCACACTTGATTCACAAGTTTTCTATCAGCTCTGACAAGATCTAACACTTTAAAGCAGCAAGTCCAGATTATTGCTTTAACATTTTCTCATAAATAACAGAATAACAGAGTTGGAAGGGACCTTGGAGGTCTTCTACTCCAACCCCCTGCTCAAGCAGGAAACTCTATAACATTTCAGACAAATGATGATTTATTTGGTAACTCTAAATTAGACAATATGAGCATGTATATGTTTCATGACTGCATCCAGTTATATTGAACATGGATCAACAATACAAAAGGTCTGAAGTTGTCCAATCACATCGCTTGAGTCAGGCACTGCCAGTGATGATTCAGCAACATCACACACTCCAAAGCCCATCTGAAGAGAAACAAGTCTTTGAATACTCCCCACTCTGACACAGGCAAAATCATCCTTGGATTGTAATCTGAAATGTTAGATTTCTGAGCAAGTTATTAAAACATGCCCTTATCTTGATGGCAATGCTGTTAAACCGCAAGTATGTCTTGGAGCTGTCCTTGGTGCTGTTTTCTAACTGTCTGAAGTTCTGCAGCCTCAGGAACCTACTAAGTACTCCTGATCCTATTCCTCACAATCATATTGCTGCCCATCAAGTTGCCATTTCATCTCCTAGGGGCATGATGTGACTCCCATCATTGAAAACTACACATTCACAGTCATGTATAGCACTATTAAAATACACAATGCAACATAAACTCATGCCATTAGCATGGATTCAGATAAGTAAGAAGCCATGCTTCTTATACATAGTCAATACACCAATCAATAAAAGAGAATATTTGTAGCGCAGGGTTGAAATGAAGGGGCCTTGGTGCTCTCTGAGCTTGCTTGTTTTGTTGCAGATATTTAATTACCTAAACCAGGTTAACATCATCAGTGCTGATGATGTTTCTTACTTTGGGTAATGAAAGGTCTGCAAGAAAACAACCAAGCTCAGAGAGCACCAAGGACCCACGGTCCCCAAACTAGATTGGGGACTAGACAGATTCATCAAATATTAGTAATCCTGTAGCTATGATGAGGCAGAATAAACTTCATTGTTTCAGCTCCTGGCTGAAACAATAAACAACAGTGATTGCCACAATAGTCCCAACAATAACTCATGTCCACATTCTAGGTAAATAACAGAATTAGGATCAATCAAAATATTATTTTTTTAAAAAAATTTATAATCAAAATATTATAAAATCAAACCTTTACTTAAGGATATCTTCAGGAAGATGTCTAAATTGTGTTTCTACATAAATGTGATTTTAAGAAGAACCAAATAAATACTTTTAACAAAAATATTGACTTATTACTAAAAACTCAACTATCTGTCCTTCTTTCAAATTAAACTCACTCCCTTTTCATGACAATAACACGTGAAGGAACTACAACAAAAAAATGGAATAAACCTCTAATGTTGCCTGTGCTGCAAATGGAATGATAGTTTTTTTTAAAAAAATTGTCACCTAAGATAGCAGATGTTTTAGCAATGCTACATAAATGGAATGTTCAGGTTGTAACACTATGTTTCTTCTGAATACAAGTTGCTGGAAGGAGGAGTAGGAGCTCAAGTTATCAAACTAGAATTGATGTCTTCACACATCAGGTGGGACAAAACTGCAAACAGAATGTTAGTCTGGCTCTGAATTGTAATTGGAAACAAGGCAACCAGTTCAATATTCGTTATAGCCACAACATTGTGGTATTCTAGTACTGTTTCAAATAAGGCTATATAACAAACTTCAGAAAATGTTTAATCAGAGAATAGCTACCAGCACTGGTTTACCTTCTGATGGCAATAGAGAGATTATCTCTGAGAATTTTATAGACTTACAGTTATGGCATTCTTAATCATGTTGAAGTGTGCAAATGAATATTACTGGTGTCCTTCCAAATGTGATTACAGGAATCCATTAAAAGATGAATGTTGGTGAATATTTCATTTTGCAACAGAATGAGCTTTTACTTTCCCACATCCCCTAAATCCAGCAAAGACACACCTGAGCCCAGAAAATGGGCGATATTTTTTAGCACATGTTCTTTCTGAATATTTTGTCATAAGCCACTGGGTGCTATTTAGCTAACCAGGGAAAAAAAAGAAAAGAATCCAAACCAAAAAGCTCTTTCCCTCCCCACTCCCTGCATGGCGCAGCATGAGTCACTGCCATTTAGGGGTTTGGTAGTTTGCTATTCTCTTTCTCTCTTCCTCCTTCCCCCGCTCTTCTTCCCAGGTTCGAGTCCTCTGACAAATCTGTTTTTAGCAGCATCTCAGGCACCCTATGATCCAGCAAAATCTTTGCTGTATAGTCTGGAGCTGCATTCAATCTTTTCATTCAAAATTTCATTTTCCCTTCTTTGTACTGATGTACTAATACATCATTTGCTCTGCAGATACTCTGTCCGGAGAGCATTGCAAAAGCATGTTCTCTGACACCTTTGGAAATGACAGAAAGATTACTTGAGACAGCAACTCAACCAAAAGCAACATTTCCCCCAAGTTTTAATATACAAAACTGTAAAGGTTCTGAGTTTGTACAGATCAGAGGAAGGTGTTTAAGTATCTTCACAAAGACCATCCTGGACTCTGTTCTGCTGAAATCCCACAACACAAATGAATTTAAGCAGGGACCTGGAACACTTGCATCCCCTAGCTGTGGCACTGTTGTCTCTCCAATAGTTGATAAGAAGATGAATTTGACAAAGAGCTTCATCTCATTCCTGCAGCTGGTACATATTGAAACAAACTGTTTCCCTTTCCTCTGCAGTGTCTCTTCCAACAATCCCTAGGTATGAGAGAGGATGCAGAAATATGTAATCAGCAATTCCACGATGACAGAAATAATTGCCAGGTGCCAGTTCACCATTTCCTCAAACCAACCACCCAAAAGCTGAGAGTACAAACCGCAGCAGCAGCAGCAAGGAAAGAAGAAAAAGGCAACAGATGGTTTGAAGCATCCTCAGAAACAAACCATGTTTGCATAGGACATAGATTGAGTAGGAAGGGAAAGGGGAGAGTTATGTCCCCTTGAAAGTTCAGCAAATATTTCACTGCTTCAGATGCAATTTTCATACAATTGGCTGAGATGTAGCTCATAGCAACTTTGGCAGATTCCTCTAAAAGTCAATAGAAGTGCAGGAGAAGAAGTTCTCTGATTAAAATAATGTGATTTTTTTTTTGAAGCGAAAATCTTCTCACAATGTAAACAATTAAAATAATATTATACAAAGCACAAGTGTACAACAGCAGGATACAGTCCTCAAGTAACAGGTAAAGTAAAGCATACAATTTAAAAGTGGCCATCCCTTTCTCTAAAACAGAAAAATCTGACTAAGGTGCATTAAAAATACACGCATGTCCTGTGGGAAAGTATGTGGCACGCATAGGTCAATCACACCAAAGTCCATCTCCTTTCCCCATGGCAACTTTATAACATTAAGTGAAAGGTCCAGGCAGGTTCATATACGCACAGGGAGATCCTCACATGGTCCCAGGCCACAGACAGCTTTGCAAATAATTATTGTCATCTCAAATTTTAGTCACACGAGGGAAGTGTACAGCCCATAAACAAAAGGGGACTTTACATAGTCCTATGTAGAAACAGAAAAGCATTCCAGCTGACAGATTCCACTAGTTTCCACAGCAAATGAGCAAATCTGGAAGTTTCAAATATTAAGCCTCCCTTCTCTTTGGAAAATAACTACTGAAATATCCGTTGCCATCTAATCAGAATGCTGGCCACTGTTGTCACAGCGAGCTAAGATCAATTCTAAC